GAGAAGACAAGGGCTTTGTAAAAATATCAGCAATTTGGTCGTCTGTAGAGATGAACTTGGCAATTAGTTTCCCTTGAGTAACTTGTTCACGAACAAAGTTATAGTCTACTCCAACATGCTTGGTACGGGCATGAAAGACAGGATTAGCTGTGAGATATGTCGCGCCAAGATTATCACACCAAAGTGTAGGGGCCTTGCTATTCAATCCAAGTTCCTGAAGAAGRGACTTCAGCCAAATCAACTCAGCAAYARTATCTGCAATGGCCTTATACTCGGACTCTGTTGAAGATCGAGAGACAGTTTTCTGCTTGCGAGCAGACCAAGAAATAAGATTCGAGCCTAAGTAGATAGCATATCCCCCCGTGGATCGACGATCAATTGGGCAACCAGCCCAGTCAGAGTCTGAGTAAGCTTGAAGATTTTGGTTCCAATGAGAATCAAAAAAGGCTTGAAGCTGATAGCCCGTATTGTGACGAATCCACAAACCCAAATTGATGGTGCCCTTGAGGTAACGTAAGATCCGTTTTACTCCGGCCCAATGATTTTCAGTCGGAGCATGCATGAACTGGCAAACTTTATTGATTACAAAGGCAATATCAGGACGAGAAAGGGTAGCATACTGAAGAGCCCCGACGGTCTGCCTATAGCGAGAGGGATCATCGAGTAATGGGCTATCATCCAGTAACAACACTTGAGAGGTGCTCATTGGAGTAGCAATCGGTTTGCAGTCTGCAAGACCAGCACGGTGTAAGATCTCACAAACATATTTCCGTTGTGAGAGAACTAAGTCTGCACCCTTGTGAACAACTTCRACCCCCAAAAAATAATGTAGCTGCCCCATATCTTTAAGAGCAAAGAGAGTATGGAGCCGGTCAACGATGGTGGCGATAGCAGTGGAGTTGTTACCGGTGATGATGATGTCATCAACATATACCAGAAGGTAGATAAGAGAGCCYRGAGAGTTGAGAATAAAAAGTGAGGGGTCGGTTTTGGACCCATAAACTGATGAAGAGCAGTAGACAGTTTTATGAACCAGGCACGAGGGGCTTGTTTGAGCCCATACAACGACTAGTGTAACAAGCAGATATGATCAGGTTTGGTTTGATCAATGAAGCCAGGAGGTTGACGCATGTAAACAGTTTCCTTGAGATCACCATGCAGAAATGCGGTCTGAATGTCCAACTATCTGAGAGGCCATTTGTTGGTGACAGCAAGAGACAGGACAGTGCGAATAGTGACAGGCTTGATAACGGGGCTGAAAGTCTCATGATAATCCACACCATGCTGTTGGTGAAAACCTTTGGCCACAAGGCGGGCTTTGTACCTGGTAATCTTTCCATTTTCATCAGTTTTTAACCGGTAAACCCATTTACAATTAACAACATTAGCATTAGGGACAGGGGGCAYAAGTGTCCACGTGCCATTCCTATGAAGCGCAGCCAACTCATCAGCCATTGCKTGGCGCCATTMTAAAGACTTRTTAGCAACGGTAAAACTAGTGGGTTCAAGAGGTAGAGGTGAGGGAGCGGTGGCAGAGTAAGCRGCTGGGTTATATYGGTCAGGTTGTTTGGGATTGGGGMGAAGGTTGGAAGGCCGAGGCCGAGAGACGGGTGGTGGAGTATGGGTATGTTCGGGCGGGGAGGCATCAGAAGGAGGTGGAATAGGTGGTGATGGTGATGATTGTGGAGACGACTGGGGAGGTTCGTGAGGAGGAGATTGAGGAGGGGGTGGCGGTGGTGTTGGTGTCGACGATTGTGGAGGCTCGGGTGGGAAACCGGGTGGTGGGTTAGGAAATATAGAGATGTAAGGAGGAGTGGATGGTGGTGGTGGGGTTGGTGAAGGCTGGTAGGGAAACACATGTTCGTTGAAGCGAACATGTCGGGCAATGTAAATCCGATCATTATACGGGTCAAAACAGCGATAGCCGTGGTGAACGGTGCTATAACCAAGGAAAACGCAAGGAGTGGACCGGAATTCAATTTTGTGATGATTGTATGGACGAAGGTAAGGGAAGCATTGACAATCAAAGACTCGTAAGAAAGAATAATCAGGTTTTCGTTTGAAGACTTGTTCAAAAGGAGATTTGTTTGAGGAAACACGAGAGGGGAGACGATTGATTAGGTATACGGCTGTTTCAAAGGCAAGGGACCAGAAGCGTTGAGGAAGACTGGACTGAGCCAGGAGAGTGAGTCCAGTTTCTACAACATGACGATGGCGGCGTTCRACAATGCCATTTTGCTCACTGGTGTGAGGACAAGACCGTCTGTGGATGATGCCAAGGTTGCGACAAAGATTGGTGAGAGGCCGAAATTCGCCCCCCAGTCAGATTGAATACACTTTAATTTGGTGTTAAATTGGCGTTCAGTCATGGTAATAAAATGTGTGAACACAGTATACACATCAGATTTTTGATTTAAAGGATAAATCCACATATAACGTGTGAAATGGTCAACACATAAAAGAAAATAACGATKACCATCAAGAGATGGCGCGGGAGAAGGGCCCCAAACATCACAATAAACAAGATCTAAAATATTATTGCTACGAAAAGTAGAATCAGGTAAAGATGACTTTGAAGATTTTCCCAATTGACAAGAACATAAAGTATTTGATAATTTGTCCGAAACAGGTAAAGAACAATAAGAAACAATTGAACGAAAAACTTGAGCATGAGGATGTCCTAAACGCTGATGCCAAATGTTCGAAGGAGCTTTGACARCAGTGAAGGCAACCTTCGGCAGAGACTTGAGTTGAGGAAGACGAATGGAGTACAAACCCTGTTCACTGGGGCCCGTRAGGAGGGTAGTGCRTGTAGAYKCGTCCTTGACAACAAAATAAGAAGAGTGAAATTCAAAGAAAACATTGTTATCAAGGAAAAATTTTTGAACAGATAAAAGATTTTGTTTTAGTTGAGGAACATGAAGAATGTC